CTACAATACTACAGCGAGAATAAAAGTTATGCTTTCTTTCTTTGCGTGAACATTTGGGTGGCGTTATGCAAATATTCTCACATAGTGACATAGACATGTGGGGGCGTGTTCGAACGAGCCGTTTTAGGTAGGTGTGGCTGACTCTTAACTTTTATAAAGAATATCTCTTTGGATTTGAGACTTTAGTCTTTGTAACTTTACAGATCTTCTTTATGCACCAAGAGCTTGTAACAAGCCAAAGAGAAAGGAAATATTTAAATCGCATCATATGACCCATTTAAGAATCAAAATCTAAAAGGATATTACAGGCATGCAAACTCTGGGAAAAAAAGAAAAGGAAAGTCCGTTTTCCATTTTTTAACTCAACATTAGGCTTTGCAAACAGACTTTTAAGGAAAGATATGGGCCCAAGAGTAAGATGTAAGATGAGTAAGATATTTTGACATTTTGTATTGTCTATTTGATGTGGGGGTAATTTCTAAGTCAAATTTGATGTGTGATTAATTTGTGATTCATTAGATTAATTAATCACCACATCATGTTTAAATTAGTTTTAACATTAACATTAGTTTTTAACAAATTAGTTAAAAAATTTTAATGACTTGACAGCCCTAATTATTTTATCTTTCAGTTCATGCAGTATGTAGGCAAAGGTATTTAAAATCCAATAAATGGAAGCAGATTACTGCCATCTGGTGGACAACAAAATAAAGAAAATCATGTGTAATACCATGGTGTAACTGCTAGATGGCTGTATAGCACTACATGCACAGTAAATATTGCCGGGTCATGCAATCCCTAATTGCGAAGAACAGTGTTTGTAGACATAATAATACTTTTAATAGATATTGCATTTAGACATTTTATTTAAACGTTATCAAAGACTTCTTTTTGTCAAAGTTTAGATTTGTATTATTTATTTAAAATGTTGAGTCTTGGCTCAACCACCTAGTACACAGTCTCTAACTCGGCTTTGATCTCACTTTATCTCTCCTGTGTCTCTTTTACACTATTAATGTTGAATTTAACCCATTCATTGCTGTTTTCCCTGCATTATTGCTCTGTGTTACAGTCACATCAGTTTATATATGTGTGTAGGCTAATTGTGTGTGTTTGAATGGTTGTGTCCATTTTTTAATTATTTATTTTCATTATTTATTTATTTTCATTATTCAAGCTTGTGGACCGTCCTCTGTTTTTGACCTTATACTCCCTGGAAATGAGTGTGCTTATTAAGAACAATAGGGGTCAAGTTCCTATAAGCCCACATTTCTGAATTATAAAAAGAACATTAAATAATATATGGGCGAAACTGATTCTTAAATGCTTACATTTTTATGGTTATTAACAGTTTTTATTATTTTTTTAATGAATTAATTTTTCCATCTGTCTACATCTCAGTTAGTGTCCTGCACTATACACATTTACATAAAAATAATCTTTCAAATTCAGAATATGACTTCAAATGCCAAGAATATGTTGCATTTAATTTATTATGCTCTTAATTTTAAAATATTATTAAAAAATTGTCACGGCACTAGAAAAAAAAGTGTCTTTTGAGGACGACTTCTACAGTGACTGTCTGACAACTCACGAACTGAACATTCGATCAGCTCCAAATAAATGCTCAGAATGGGACATTTATTCATTGCATCGCTGGTTATGAGCATATGGCATATGAGCATATGAGCACTACACTTTCATACTGTTCAATAAAGTTTAAGTTTCACACACACACACACACACACGAACACAGAGAGAGAGAGAGATTTCCATATTACATACATTGACATTTTCATATTAGTTATATATTACATATTAGTTATAATATATAAATGAATGTTCAGATGTCCTAGTGTAAATGTCCAGATGTTCTAAACCATTCTCTTTGTTGTCTTAATGCTTTGGCAATACAAAATTTATTTTTGTCATGCCAATAAAGCTATTTGAATTTAATAGAGAGAGAGAGAGAGAGAGAGAGAGAGAGAGAGAGAGAGAGAGCGAGAGCGAGAGAGAGAGAATAAATATAAAATAGACACTCAATAACACCAATCCGCAAGAGTATTTTTCAGGTAACCAAGCCATACTCATTTTTTACCTTGTACATTTAAGGAACTTCTGACATTACTAAGAAGCTTTTTAAGACGGTACCGTTTGGGTTTGTCAAGCTCATCAAAGGAAGCTTTTCTCATAGCCATTGTACCAGACAGCAAAAACACTTTTAAATCAGGAAAATATGACTCAATTTTGGTTTTGCGAAGCCCCTTTGTAATATCAAGAAAGTTATTAATCTGCTGAACAGAATAAAGTTTAGTCGTACCTCCAGAGGCAGGCTCTGAATCCATCACGTCGTTGTCCATTATATCTGTGTCTTCTTCACATTCCTTGTCAGAATCATCCATTTGTAGCTTTAAATCCACAAGTTCTTGAGATGAAATGTCATCTTGACTCTGATTAAACGTGTCATCAATAATTGTGTTACTCTCAGTTTTGTCAGGCTGCGTTTGTTTTCCAAAACAAAGCGAATCGGTCTCAGGCACGGACTGCAAGCACACCTGTTCCGGGCTCGTCTCTGCCTGCGGCACAGCGGGAACATGACTCGGCCCAGCCGCCTCCTCAGCAGCCTCCACCAGGCCGTCTTTAGAGGCAACCAGCGCCGGTCTCTCGGGCAAGTCACCCGGCGCTGACAACGCCTCGCCCGGCTGGGGTTCTGATACCTCAGCGGCCAAAGCAACATCCGCGCCAGCCGCCCTCTCGCTGTTCTCCGCATCTGCAGCCGGAGCCGCAGGAAGGCCTGCCGGCCTGTCTCGATTCGGGCAAGTTTGTCTAACGTGTCCAAAAGCACCGCAAACAAAGCATCTCATCGAGTCTGAGCTAATAAAGACAGTGTAATCTTTGCCATCAATGCTTAGTTTCACTGACAGATTTAACGGATCACTCTGAGAATTCAAAATCATAAAAGCCTGACGCCGAAAAGACATTACATGTTTAATATCAGGATTTTTACATCCGAGTGGAATCATTTTAATAGGACTCACTATTTTGCCGAACCTCTGGAGTATTTGCTCCAGTTTTTCATTTTTAACAAACGGGGGTACGTTCGATAAAACAACTTTCTTAGACGGGCTTGACAGAGGCAATACAGGTACAAAAGTGTCTTTGATTATCAACCCAGTTTCAATCAAGTCATCCACCATTTGACTTTCACTGAGAAAGAACACGATGGCTTTATTCATACGGGAGGCAGATCTGATATTAGCGCCACCGACCGCCGCACTCACGGCTATCAGACAATCCTCCACTGACACCTGGGCATCAGGCATGCATTTACAACCATGCCTGAGTGTTAACCGCGAGAAATCTCCCGCTTCCGACCCCATTATCCCCACCCACCGACCGAAGTCAGGGATAAAATAAACCTTTAACTAACCCTACACTTGACAGAAAGGAAAAAAATCCCAGGAAACAAGAAAACTCACTCCAACAGAGAGATACTCTCACCCACGCCAAACAGCTCCGTCCACACTTACTCCCAGCATGCACTAGCACAGAGAGAGAGAGAGAGAGATCTTTACTTTTACCTTTATCTCGAAACTTGGCACTAGGAAGCATGGGTTATGATTCAGTTTCCGAGTTTATCTTGGACCTCAACTCTATGTGCTGCCAGCAGTCCTGTTTTAGCAAGAACGCCCCGTTTTTGGGCAAAATGATTGCCAATCTGTGTAAATGAAATCTTATGTAAATCTTACAATATAGGTGCACTTTTTGCATGGCTTCTTTATGGCTGTACAGGAATCAACACACACACACACACACACACACAAAGTCCCCCGTTTGACAGTCAGTTTGTCAGTGTGCGCTAATGGAGGCAGAAAATAAACATAATTAGTACTGTCCGTTTCCTTAGAACAAAATCCGTCTACAAACAAAAGCTGTGAGTTTAAAATGTGGCGTACACAATACAACATTTGTGAACTAATATCGGAAAATAAACACCTTTTTGTATAAACCTCAGCGCGCATTCACGACTGAAGTTGAATTGTTTCAGTATGACTTACCTTCTGTTCTGATCACCCGCGTTCATATCATTTCTGTCAGAAAGACAAGTCTATTTATTTTTTCACAAGTGTGTTTTGTTTCGGTGTATCTGGTGATATTGCTCTGCCTATGACTGTTCTTTCGCGCAGGAATGAGATATTACATCACCTTCAGTGTGAAGTTAGACAAAAGCAACAAGACTGTGTCTAAAAAAGTTACTCTATATTAACTGAGCAGTTGTATCGGTCTGAAAATCAGCATTGCTGTGATTACAAGAGATGTGCTGATTTTTAACAGAACTCTTCCTTGCGTGAACTTGCCAAATTGTACTTTTCCTAACAAAAAGTATAATTGTTACGCAGTCTACGTGTTAAAACGTATGCTGTATTCTGTAGAATTCAACGAGAGTTGATATAATTTCGAATGAAGTAGAATAACGTACCTTCTGTCCGCTCGCGAACACATCCATTCTGAATCAGTCAGGTCTGCTAGCCTCGCTCTCTGGAGATGAAGTCAGACCAAAGAGCTCCGAGTGCGTTTCTCTGCCTGACTCTGACCCACCGATTAAAACTACTAGCAATGACGGGAATGAGACATTACAACACTCGTGTGAATGTGAGATTAACACACTTCAGTCTCACATTTCAATGTTTCATGTGTTTCCTCCAAACGCTGCACGTAATTATATGGAGAAGCAGCCAAGAGGGCGTCGACCTGAGAACCCATTCAGCACGCCTAAAGACTTAGAAAAAAAATACAGTCATGCTTTAATTCTGTCCTCTAGTCTAGCGCATCCAATTACAGGAATGGTCAACTTTCTGTTCATCCACAAATGTGACCCTGGACCCCAAAACCAGTCATAAGGGTAATTTTTTGAAATTGAGGAAATCGCCTTTAAAGTTGTCCAAATGAAGTTCTTAGCAATGCATATTACTAATAAAAAATTAAGTTTTGATATATTTATGGTATGAATTTTACAAAATATCTTCATGGAACATGATCTTTACTTAATATCCTAATGTTTTTTGGCATAAAAGAAAAATTGATAATTTTGACCCATACAATGTATTGTACAAATATACAAATATAATACATTTTGTGGTCCAGGGTCACATTTGTGTTTATTATAGCATTAAATTAGCTATATTATCTAAATACTATGCATACTGAAGCCATCTGAGGCTAAATATGAACAGTCCCTTGTCATTTGAGGTGTAACATTGAAATTGCATAATTAAAATGTTGGGAATGCATATGAAACGGTCTGTAAATTATTTATTTGCCAAACAACTGCAATTTTCTGCAAATCTGAGACAGTTCCAGAGGGCTGTGCTACTTATGACTGCTTTTGTGCTCCAGGGTCACAAATATGTATAAACATCATTGGTGTTCTTTTCAAAATATAATTAGTATCGAAAAATTAGTATCACCATCTGATATTAGCTACTTTACCAGGTAGCACTACAGTTCGGCAAATTACGTGTATTTTGATAATTCACAATTTAATAGTAAAGAATTTCTAATTATAGGTTAAACTGATTGCCTTGATTTCTACTTGATTTTAATGCTCTGGATGTTCATGGTCCAGAAATGACACATAAATGTCAATGAAACCATAAAGAAATTCATACACATTTCCATAATTTAAAAAAAAACATCCATGAAACATTACTGTCTTATTTCTGTTTACATCCCAAAAGGTCACAGGTAACTTTAAACTGTGTTAAAATGGTTTAAATTGCTTTTCAGTATAAAACAGCTCATAAGAAAAGCCAAAAATCTGTTTCATGTAACTTTCTTTATAGAAAAGACATCAAGACCAAAAATCCTCATTTGTGTACAGAGACATCACTTCATGAGTCTTGAATGTCTTTTTCATCTTTGTTAATCTGCACAGGAAGTAACCATCACATTTCTGCATGACCTTGAGCGCTGAATAAAAAAATGATTTGCATAATTTAGTACACACTACAAGTTTTAGGTGTGAACAGTCTTTACAGTAATCAGCTATTGCATCATTTGATACATAAACATACTTCTCATTCTTTCTACAGGCACCGAGTTTTATCCTGAAAGCATTACATGTCTCCTTTAATAAATGGAAAAACACAATGAAAAGAATACAAACTAGACAGCTAACTAGTGTCTCAAAATCAACAAAATGCACCAAAGCAAGGTGAGTCCTGGTCTAATTGTCAGTAATAGGGAACACAATGCAGACAGAGGCAAATAAAAACAGCACTTGACGGGTCAGAAATGTGCGATGCAGCATGTCAGCTGGAGATCATCTACTACAGATGTGATTTTTCCTGCGGCAGCACTTTTTCAAACACCACAGTCAGTAACTGCATACTTCAGATTCCTCACAAATAACAGCATTCCCATCATGCTCATTAAGCACACAGCGGTCAATTCTCCTGTCATCCAGCGGTTACACACTCGGGCACTTCGTGAGGGGCGTGAAGGTCCTTCACATGATGATCCGCGGCTCAGGAACAGAGTCTGCGATGGATTTATGAGGCAGGACATTGGCACCGTTGATGTAGAGCTCATCGTTCACGATCACGTCTTCACCCAGGACCGTAACGTTCTCCATCCGCACCTGACCAACACGATCATCATCATACAAATCACACAGGAGAGAGCACAGAAGCAGCCTTCCACAAGAACAAATCCCATTCACATACTCCAACTTATAAAGCATTGTGAATGATGAAATGAAATCAAAAATCTGGATAAGACGAGTAGTGGTTATTACCCTAGTAAAACAGTAATATATTTAAAACACATTTATTTCATGCTAAGTATAGTTCAAATCTATTAACATATTTACTGACAGATAACTCGAGACTTACTGATATAAACATTATAATTAGTGCTGTCAAACGATTAATCGCGATTAATCGCATGCAAAATAAAAGTTTTTGTTTACAGAATATATGTCTGTGTAGTGTGTATATTTATGTAAATGAACAACATACAACGTACATATGTATGTATTTATTATATAAATACACACACATGCATGTACATATTTTGAAAATATTTACATGTATATATTTATATTCATATAATTTATATTATATATAAATATATTTAATATATAAACATAACATTTTTCTTAAATATATACATGCATGTGTGTGTATTTATATATACATAATAAATATACACAGTACACACACAGATATTATGTAAACAAAACTTTTATTTTGGAAGAGAGTAATCATTTGACAGCACTAATTATAATTAAACTTTACTTGGCATATTACTTGTGCACAATGCACATTTCTCGATATTAAGCTAAAATGTATTTTAATGTCACTTTTGATGATGATTGTATGATCTTTGAATAATATCGTTCTTTAAATGCAAGATATTTAAAGGGGTCATATGATGCGATTTCAAGTTTTCCTTTCTCTTTGGAGTGTTACAAGCTGATTGTGCATAGATAAGATCCCTGAAGTAGCAAAGACTAAAGTCTCAAAACCAAAGAGATATTCTTTATCAAAGTTAAGACTCTGCCACGCCCCCCTAAAACGGCTCGTTCTAACACACCCCCACATATCTACCTCACTATGTGGAAACATTTGCATAATGCCGCCCAAATGTTCACGCAAAGAAAGAAGGCGTGGTTTCAGTAACCGCAGTTAGGGTTGAAGCAGCCATGTCAGGGAGACACTGTGTGTTTCAGTGCAAAAGCAAAAGCACTTTATTTGGCCTACCAGAAGTAGATGCATTTAGGAATCTTTAAGATAACTTACAACAGAACAGCAATGCGTTTTATGGACGACCGTTTCGTGAACCTAGGAGAGGAGGTAATTCTGACTTTGCTATGACAATCTGGCGCTTCTGAATCAGCTACTGTTTTGTTATTAGTTTAAGTATTTGCTATTGACTGTTCAAATGCGGAGTTTTACGCATCGTGTGTGTGTGTGTGTGCATGTGTGTGCGAGCGAGCGAGA